CTCCCAGTCCAATTCCAGTCCCTCCCAGTCCTTCTCAATCCCATTTCATTCCATCCCAGTACATCCCAGTTCCTCCCAGTACATCCCAGTCCCTCCCAGTCCCTCCCAATTCCTTCCCAGTCCCTTTCCAGTCCATCCCAGTCCCTCCCAGTCTCCTCCCAGTACATCCAAGTCCCTCCCAGTCCCCCCAATTCCCTCCCAGTCCCTTTCCAGTGCCTCCCAGTCCAATTCCAGTCACTCCCAGTCCTTCTCAATCCCATTTCATTCCATCCCAGTCCCTCCCAGTCCTTTCCAGTCCCTCCCAGTCCCTCCCAGTCCTTTCCAGTCCCTCCCAGTCCTTTCCAGTCCCTCCCAGTCCCTTTCCAGTTCCCTCCCAGTCCAATTCCAGTCCTTCCCAGTCCTTCTCAATCCCATTTCATTCCATCCCAGTCCCTCCCAGTCTCCTCCCAGTACATCCTAGTAACTCCCAGTCCCTCCCAATTCCCTCCCAGTCCAATTCCAGTCCCTCCCGTCTTTCTCAATCCCATTTCATTCCATCCCAGTCCTTTCCAGTCCCTCCCAGTCCTTTCCAGTCCCTTTCCTGTCCTTCCCAGTCCATCCCAGTCCCTTTCCAGTCCATCCCAGTCCTTCTCAATCCCATTTCATTCCATCCCAGTTTCTCCCAGTCCCTCCCAGTCTCCTCCCAGTCCATCCTAGTAACTCCCAGTCCCTCCCAATTCCCCCCCAGTCCCTTTCCAGTCCATCCCAGTCCAATTCCAGTCCCTCCCAGTCTTTCTCAATCCCATTTCATTCCATCCCAGTCCCTCCCAGTCTCCTCCCAGTACATCCTAGTCCCTCCCAGTCCCTTTCCAGTCCCTCCCAATCCAATTCCAGTCCCTCCCAGTCCTTCTCAATCCCATTTCATTCCATCCCAGTTCCTCCCAGTCTCCTCCCAGTACATCCCAGTCCAATTCAAGCCTTTCCCAGTGCAACCTCATCCTCTCCCAGTCCCTCCCAGTCCCATTTCATTCCCTCCCAGTCCATCCCAGTCCAATTCCAGTCCTTCCCATCCCCTCCCAGTCCATCCCAGTGCTCCCAGTTGTAACCAGTCTCCCTTTGCAGCACCTCCATATCTCTGGATGAGGAGAAGAGGTGAGGAGGGGGGAGAAGCAGAGGGGGAGGGGGGGCATTCAGGGGTCATTTCTCCTCATTAAGTCATTTCTCCTCATTAAGTCATTCCCCCATTAACGCCGCTCCCAATTTACGCCATCCCTCACTTACGGCATTCCACATTTACGGCAGTTCTCCCTTTACGGCAGTTCTCCCTTTACGCCACCCCTCACTTCCGGCATCCCCATTTACGACAGTTCCCACTTTACGCCATCCTTCACTTACGTCACCCCTCACTTACGGAATTCCACATTTACGACAGTTCCCCCTTTTACGCCATCCTTCACTTACGCCACCCCTCACTTACGCCACTCCTCACTTACGGCATCCCCCTTTACGACAGTTTTCCCTTTACG